CATTTGTTGAAATGGACCGTCTAACGCGAATGTGGGTGGTTTCGTTGGATCTGAGGCCAGATTCTCTGTTGGCACGGCATATTTTTTCATATTTTTTCTTCTTTCGTTTCGATCATGATTGGAATCTAGGGAGAAGGGATGCGAGCACACAAATGCATATCTGGGATAGATTTTCTTCCAAGCGATTGAAGTCATTCATTTTTTCTGTCTAGACACTTTGGAAATTCATGGAAGGAAATATGTTATGCCTGCCGATTCCAATAAATATTCTTACAGGATGCGACAATGCAATCTTTGCCACTGTCCTTAATAACAGCTGCTACAAAGACAGTGAATAAAATTAAGGAACCTAAGAATATTATCGAAATCAACGAACAGGTCGGCAATGGAAAGTATGTACAATGCCGCCTTCGTGGCTCTGACAAACGAGAATAGATTGTATTACGGCTGTGAGAGAGAAGAGAAAGAGAGTGTGCGACCTGTCTTGGCCTTAACCAGCGAGATAGCATAGAGAGTATATCTAGAGGCGACACTCCGAGGGGTAGGAGAGGGCCGAGATATTACAGAGACATCTGGTGGCTTGTTATCAACAACCCTTCCACGAGGCGTGCTTCGTGGCAGCGGAATCAGGAATCGATTCCCTCGGGGATTCGACCCGAAGAGATCCCTCAACGTAACACGCGTGTCTCGTTGAGTCGGCTGCTCGGCAGTGGAGGAATTGTTGATGTGCGCGCGCTAAGTGGAGGATCGACAGCGACATCTATATTCCGACCCTGTCAATGAATGGGATTCGAGAGGAGTGTCGCCTCTAGTTATACTCTACTCTATGGAGGTCGCGAGATCGTCAAGGTGCCAAAGCGCCCATTTTTATTTTTATTATAGTGGAACGGCTCGTTGACGTCATCACACGCGCAAGATTTTACCCCCTCTCTTCGACGCCCCTTAAAGAACATCCCTTCGTTCCGCACCCTCCCAACCCCCCCCCCCCCCCCCCCCCCCCTGCACCACCAGCAATGGCGGCCACCTTTTCGCTACCTTTGAAGACGCCACCATTTCCACTGTTTCTGTCAAGCGTTCACTACCCCACGAACAAGTAAAGTGAGTGCGTCTCGAACCGGTTCTTCATTCGGTAGTTAACTACAAAGTTGAAAAAACTTACCTCGTTCCACTTCGCAAAAGTTCTTGTTTGTCGTGCTCGGTCCCCTCTTGGTCCCCTTGGACCTCCTCTCCCCGATTAGATCGGGAGTACGCGCTGCTCTTATTCAAGTAGCCCTCATCACAACCCAGGTTAGAAGAGTAGAACGGGTAGAATTCCATACCCTGAATGATGGCGGTTCTCTCCCCCCCCCCCCCGGCAACACACGTCACTGGTGTAAAAAAAAAAACTACCAGTCTCGACAGCTTCATTCTCGTCCTCAGCTTTCCTTTAATCTTATGAGATCATGTGAAGCATATCGGTAATAACCACATTTCACTAGCTCAGAAAATGTTCCTATCGGTTGACTGACAACTGGTTCCCAGCGACTCACTCTTTAAGTTTCTGATGAAGTTTTCCAAGTCACGAGTGCGTTTTACAGTGTTTTTCACTTCAGTTAGACAATTTTTCACTTGACTAAGACACCGATGCGAGGGGTATTCAGAGAAGAGGCGAGGGCGCTGGTGCCCCTGGCGACTAGCGACATCTTTCTTTCCTTCGAATATTTAGGCTTTTTCGTATGAATCAAACTATGCACTGAGCTAAGTGAAACCATGTCCTGGAAACGATGAACCGCATGCATAGCCATGTTGTCAACGGGAGACCTTCCTTGCCGTCTATTCTGAGCTAGTGAAATGTGGTTATTACCGATATGCTTCACATGATCTCATAAAATTAAAGGAAAGCTGAGGACGAGAATGAAGCTGTCGAGACTGGTAGTTTTTTTTTTTACACCAGTGACGTGTATTAGGGAAGGTTCATATTGGTTTTCCTCTCTTCAGCAGGAAATTAATCATCATCGTTGTCGTCAATGTCATCACGATATCTGCACTTAAGTATGGAACTCCTAGTTTCTGCGTCGGTCCGCTATATCACCCTCACCGTGCACCGTTGTCGAAGTCAAGTGAAAAAATGTCTAACTCAAGTGAAAAACACTGTAGCAGGCTGCGACTGCTCGTGCAATTGGCATCTCCGAATGCTATGGATACGACAGTGCTATCAGACGATGCGCTCATGCAAGCGCAATGGCATGGAGATACACGAGAGCAAGGTGATGTGGCTAGGAAAATTTGACAAGTGTGGCATTTTCAGCAGACAAAACAGATGAGAGAAAGGAGATTTTGCGTGATCGCCCTTCTAGCTACGCTCTCCGATGAAAGTTAGCCAAACCTCATCAACGACTCTAACCGGGTTCTAAGGGTGACATGCACCAGATTCGTTTAACTTTAAACTGATTTGTTTTCATAATGGGTGTCTATGGGAATAGGTTTATCTCTGTTAAACTGATTCCCATAGGGGACCATTGTGAGATCAGATTAGTTTAGCTTAAACGGATTTGGTGCGTGTCACCCTAAATCCCCTCCAGCGCCGATTTTTAGCTGCCATTCTAATTTGAAGCTGAACTTGGTCTCTCCTACGAACCTCAACGAACGCGCTACCTTCCCCATCGTCGTCTGAACATCCAAGCACCTTGGATCTAGTCACGCTCTTGCTGCATCGGCTACAAGTTAATCAAACTGGGTTGTCCGAAGCATACGAGAACTTACGCCTCCAGTCGTCCATACGTGATTTGAATTTCTTGTCGACTACGGAATTTTATTCTCATATCCAGTGATCACGACTCTGATTTAGTCGATCTTTATTTTCCATCGAAAAGCCCGAAGCCTACCGGTGACGTTAAATCCACTTTTAATTTAGGGTAAACGTTGGGTTGTCCGTTTCACGTTCCAAGGTTTCTCACTCGCATTCTCACATTATGGTGTCTCGGTTTAACGAGAGGGAAATAATTTTCATGTGTTCGCTTCGTACTCCTGAAAACACGACGTCTGATGTAACTTTGTACGATGTTCGTGGCCTCGATGGTGGTTTATAAGGGCTAGAGCTTAGCTTTCGGTGACCATCTGCGATGAAGAGCCAGAGGGCGTACGTTCCAACCGACTTCTCACGCGTCGCACCGCCCGCTCCCACCGGTCGGTTCTCTGTGGTTGCAGGGCCTACCACCGGGGCAGGCGGGGTTCCTCGACGTCGGAGGCACCGCCACAGAGAGTCCGGTCTTCTCGGTGCATCGTCCCGCACGACCATTGAGTCGTTTCCGAACGGTGGATCTCCGTTTCGCGATCGCTTCTCGTTACGCCTTCCTCGAGCGTATCGTAACCGGGTCGGAATCCATCGACATCACCATCGTTTGCCACCTCTAGAGAAACGGTGACCGAAACTTCTTCACCCGTTTCCTGGCGCTGAACGTCGAGACTTTTCCGATCGTTGCCTGGCGTCGACGCGTCGTGCCAAGGAATGGGTGAATCTCTGATTTCGACCTTGAGATTTTTCCCGTACTCCGAGATCCAGCGACAGTGTGTCATTTTCCTGAGGTAGACCTGCTGGCTTCGATTTGCTTCCGTCGGTTGGCGTTTCCGTCTTCACGTTTGAAAGCGACGGGGGTAGCAAGCTTGCAGGGTCAGATTTCCGACTTAATGGGACCAGGGCAATCAGTGGCGTGCCCAAGGGGGGGGGGGGGTTGGGGGGGCATAACTCCTTTTCCCTTGCGATACATTTTACAGGTTCGATTCTAAAAAATTTTTTTTTTTGGCCAAATATGCAGGGTGGGTCACCAATTTTTCAAATGTCAAACCCCCCCCCCCCCATTGGGATTTTCTAGGCACACTACTGAGGGCAATGCATACGGTGAGGCTCACCTCGGTCACAGTTCCATCTCCGCCTTTTCGGCGTCGTATCTCATGAGCACGGAGCGGAATTTTTCCACGAAAAGACCTCTAACATCCATAAGAGCAATAGAAAATAGTAAAATATACGGAAAATGCGCATAAAATGCTTGAGCTGGGCAAAGGAATACATGTTGAGTAATCATTAAGCATTATCCATTTAATTAATCAGTAATCCATGGATTTTTGAAATTGTATTATAGTCAGTCATGGAAATTTCTGAGGTTGTTGTTAAAGACAATTATCAGTAAACTGTAAGTTAAACTACAGGGTGGTCCAAAAAAAGGTAACCAAAAATATAATAAGCGTAATATTTTAGGCTACCATTTTTTTTTGAACCACCCTTTATTATAAAGTAAAGTGTGTTTCGTGTTCCGACACCGTCATCAAGACCCCTCCTGAACTCGGGGCACCGCGAGTCCGGTTTAAATTCATACATCAACTTCAACTTTCACGTGCGCTGGGACGAGTGTTTTTCACGTTTTTCCTGAGAAAACCAAGGTGTGCCAAAGCTTTATATTGTGCATCGTCAAAGGAGCTCTGCCTGCAATAATTGCGATGAGTGATCCCACATGGACGCCCAGGAGTTCACAGAGCATCTGTACCCGTACTTGTATTTTGCAAGAAAAAGTCGATAAACTAGGGAGACGGGATGGGATGTAAAAGCCAACAGGACAGGATGGCATTTTGCGTTCTGCCGTCATCGAGAATCACGTAAGTTAAGCACTTTTTTTCACCCTTGATCACGAGTTTTTTTTTTCACTCCGTTACGACAGGTTTTCCGATCGGCTAAAATTAATCAGTGAAGGTGGCGATCGCGTGGATAAACTCCTCATCGATCAGCCGCCTCGTGGACGAGCATAAACCTCCAACGAAAAACAGATTTTCTTGCATCTTGAGCAGTGACGTATTTTACAGGGGAGCAGTCGCGCCCCCGGGACAGAGCTTGGCGTCCCAATTGGAAGTAATAATTTTCTTTCCCGATATCGCTCGGGTGAGGTTTGGCGCCCTCACTGTGTTCCCCTGCCCCCCTCCCCCTGACCCTTCAGCCACTGATCTTGAAGAATAATGGAGAAAACAAATGCGTGAAAAAAGTATAGAACGTGTATTTGCATACGAGACACGATTCATGACTATATATATTATCACAAGGCGGAGACGAGGTGAGCCAATATTCGGTAATTTCAATACGTGTTATATCGACGCGATCCAACGAGAACAACGTTGCTATCCGACGGGCCGAACCTTCATCTGTTAGGGCACGGTAAATCAGCAGAAACATTTTTGGTGATATATATTCACTGGAAAAAAAGTAATAAACGGCAGGCACGATGAAGCCGAAAAAGAAGGAGGAAAGGGACATCGTGGACTCGAATCAGGCGAGAGCAGATGCGGGGAGGCTGCTGTGTTTGGGCTTGGTTGTGCTCATGAAGACCTTGATGCAGCCGTGAAAGTCTGCCGTGACGAGGAAGTAGCCCTGCGGGTGATCGCTCTTGTCCCCCGCCTTCACCTTCGCTCCGTCTCGTCTCGCCTTCTCCCGCTCCATCTGCCGCAGGATGGTCTCCGGGTGCGGCGCGAACGCGGCCACCGTCACCACCGCGTTGTGCGCTGCAATCACGGTCCGATTCAACGCTTTGGGGGAACCAGGTCTCTCCGGATCCGAGCGTCGAACCGGGTGTGTAAGCCAGGTTCGTCGCTCGATCGACTCGGCCGGCGGATTAAAAACCGAAAAAGTATCTATTTTACGAAAAACTAGGGCCGTTATGAAGGCGGTCTCGGAAACGTCCGAGTACCGACCCGAACCATCGACGTTCCAACGATAGACGCCAAGAGGCCATACTTTTGAGCTAATTCGAGTTAAAAACTAGTCAATAGCAACTTTAAATATGCTGCATTTCCCATCGCAGAGTCATAGGCATACCGTTTATCACCCATTTATACGGAATCCAATTTTGAATCTTGGTCACAGATCGAGTTCGCGGAGACCGATGTTTTTTGGGCCATTCTATACGTTCATCGACGAAAGATGAGTAAAGAAAGGCGTATCGAAAGAGGACGTCAGGCCCCTAGTAGAGCCACAAATGTGCCGGGAGGAGCCGGAAGCCAGTAGAGGCAGGTAAGAGAGAAAAAAGAAAGGTCGGGATCTCCGGAGAGGCTTCTGCTTCCCCGCAGTCCTCTTTTTTTTCTCTCCCTCTCTTTCATTTCGAGTTTGATGGCGTCCCATCGCCACTCACGCATCGTTTCGAGCTTCTGGAAATGAGGAGTCTGGCAGGGGACTTCCGAGAGTGCCGACGCACGGACGCATCGCGAAGGCTTCACTCTCGACCCCAAGCCTCTTGCACCTCCTCGATTTCCCATCGACGTTACCTTCTTCCCCTCGTCGCCGGATGCGGCACGTCACGGCAGCTTTCCGACGATATGCTGCCTCGCCACCCTCACGACAGAGAACGAAGAGTGATCGAGAGGAGAGAACGGAACGCATCGGCTCGAGAAGTTACTGGTAGCAAGGAGTACGTCTTTTTCAAATTAAAAACTTTTGCACATCGTCGAGCACGCTACAAAGCGCAATTAATGATAATGGAAGTATTTTGGGCACAAGAAATCTACTCATCTGTTTACCAGGAAATTTTGCGGAGCGGAAATCGAAGACCTGATAGTTAAGCTTTATGCGATCGGTTTCTTTTCACGATTGCTTCCGACAAAAAAATTTTTAAAAGGAAAAGCTTTAATAAAGCTATATGAAAATATCGACCTCATTCGCGGGGCAAATGACTTGTGCACCAATCCATCGACGGATCGACAGTTCGTGACACGATGCGGTAAAAATGTTCTCTCGTCTCTCCCACAACAGTCTGTCTGCCGATCGGCACTCCGAATTTCAAACGATAAACACAGATTTTGGAAGGATGCTAACTGCACGCATCGCTAGCCGCATCCGACACGTGCACAGGGAGATCGCGATGAGACGGAATCAAAAAGCGGCTAGAGCCGAAAGATGGGAAGAAGAGAAGACGACCTTTGTTTTTTTTTTTAAATTACCTTTGATGCCTTCCCAGTAGTCGTTGCGGTCGCGCCGGGCGGACGAGAACTTGGCGTAGTCGTGGTGCGTCTTCCAGACGTAGAAGCACTGGTTCTCCGACCCGCTGATGATGTACTTCCCGTCGTGACTGCAATGAATGCGATCCGAATCGGAATCGGAGGCCGAGACGAGGGGAAATCGCGAAAATCGAACTCACCTGAAGCAGGCCCGAATCTGACTGCTCTGGTTCAGACAGCCTTTATACTTGCAGGAGAGGCTGAGGTCCCGAAGGTCGTACAAGCGGATGCGGCTGTCGTTGGACGTCACCAGGATCTGATCGACAACAAAGATAGATCCCAGACTTTTAACAGGTTGACCGTCACGGCCATATCGACCTGGTGACTTTCCTACGTCAAAGTCATTTGTATATCCCTAGGAGACTCCTTAACCCTTTCGCACTCAGCCTATTTTCCAAGTACCTGGCCTAAAACACTCTCTGGTCCGGAACTACATCACATACGTACCTTTTGCAGTTAGCACCTGTGTTTAGGGAAGCATTTTGAGCCATTTATGTGACTAAACAACAAAAACAACCTTTGAGACATTTATGTAACTAAAAGAGCATGATTTAGACGGAGCCGATGGATCGGCCCGCTGAGCGTATAAGGGTTAACAACATACTTTGATCATCCCATGCTATTTGCAATTTTAAGTGGTCTTTTGCGGACTTTTTAGTGAGGCGCACCGGTGTGCCTCATGGCGTGAGGAATGTAATTAGGTTTACCACGCCACGAGGGCCGCCAGTGGAACTCACACACGCGCGGCGCCACTGACCGTTCGGGAATCGGTGAGTTCCCTCTCTGGCTGGCTGTGCTCGCACCGAGTGCGGTCGACGGCAATGGTCCGCCGCAACCTTACTTAGAATAAACTGCTGCACCTCCGAAATGAATCAATGGATTTTTATATAACTTTGCGTGCATGTGCTCATTTGATGTCTTAGTCAGCCCTCAAAAGCGCACAGCGATAGTCTGAACCAATTACGAGAAACTACAGATTGAAAAGGTTCCAACATTTTTTGGGACGAAGTGTACAACCACCGACCGTGCGGTAGGAAGCATTTCTGCAGGTTTTTGCTGACTTTATAGCTTTTAGACACAGTTTATTGTTTATCCTGCAATTAGTGAAGTGCGAAGTGGTAAGGATGGATCAGGAGAGACAAGAGAGAGAAAGAATGAAGAAAATTCTACATTGATAGAATTGATATCTTTTTTAAGCCTATGCGTAAAGCATTGGTGTCTAATAGGATTTCGATGCTAGCCAAACTTGTGGTGATCAGGTCACCATATTCGCCACAAGATACAAAATATATGCAATATGAATAAAAAGAATGCGCAATCTTTTGAAAGAAGAAAAAATATAACTGATGAAGAGCATCAATTCGCCACTTAAGGCGAGTGGCGAACGTATTGGACACCATGGGCGTAAAGAACCCTCCACCATGACGAAGATGACTTCCCTGCGTCATGAGGTGCATCGGTAGGCCTCACTACATTTATTTTCATAACCCCTTATAAGGGTAAATGTAACTGAAGAAAGATCAGCCCACGAACTAAGTTCATTTTCCTGGATCACGGCCTCACAAAACCTCTGCAGCACTGAGGCGCACTGGTGAAGCCTGAGGCGCAACAAAGGAAAAGAGGTGGGGCGCACCCGTGCGCCCCATGGCGCAGGGCCGCCCAGAGGTTTCCAGGGGCCCGGAGCGAAACTAAACTGGAGACCCCTTGGGGGCCCCCTTGATTCGTTGGGCCCGGGGCAGATTGCCCCAATTGCCCCCCCCCCCCCTCTGGGCGGCCCTGGTGAGGCGTACCGGTGTATCTCATGAGACCCAAATAAGAACTGCGCCTCTCCACTCGGCCGTGCTCATTATCGTAATTCGAACCCTTCACATTTCCTTAACAAGAAACTCAACAGGTGTAAAGGTTTGAGAGCCAAAAAGGATCTGAAGCGTACGCATTCGGCATCCGATGTCACCTACTCGATCACAATTGTAAAAATTTAGTCCAAGTGGAAGCAGTAATACTCCTGCAAACAACAGAAGCTTTATGTGGACATATGCAAACATTCTAAGAGATTTCATACAGTCTCCATCATTTTCCAGAGAAAGGCGTGAAAATAAAGCTTTAAAAAAATAAACGGAAAGGAGGCGTCACCTTGTCCTCTCCAGGAGCAGGCTCGATACCCGAAATCTTGCGACCTTTGGCATTCTTCCCGCGGGTGGATCGCACGTGAATCTGCGTGAAGTACTTCAGCTCCTCCGTGTTGTAAAAGATGCACCGACCGTCGTATGTCCCCACCACAGCTATTTTCCCGTTCTGGAAGATCAAATTTTCTCCATCATCACTTCTGGTCCGTTGTTAGACACTGATTTTCAAAAAATTTATATTGAGGAAAACGCTAAAACACTTTCCGACTCATTCTTGTCACAGATTTTGTGACTTTCTTATTTGGCTAAAAAAATATATAATAAAAAAACTGGCTGCACTGCTTTGGATGGTTTCTTTGCATTCATTGTTGGTGGTTTGTCTCCATACTGATCGAGAATTGGATTTTCTGCTCCAATGAGCAAATATTGAACAATGCATAAAACCCAAAAGTCTATAAATCTGGACGAGGGATGCCAGAGGATATACAGGGTCATCAGAAAGAGACGCTTCAGTTTTCACTTATATTTCCTGAACTACATTGCCAACAACCTCATATGTGGTATCATTCGACACGTCAGGCTTGGGAGTTTTGTATCATACTATGCAGTCCTAGTGCTAATTTCGATAAACAGTAGCAAACAAGCTAGCGTATATCACAGAGCAGCGGGTGTTTATGTTGAAAAAGTTTTATCAAACGGCAGCGTTATTAAAGTGCAGTGTGATTTTCGAAGTGAATTTTGACGTAGGGACACTCCAAGCACATCTGCAATGAACAGGCCAGTAACAAAATTCATAAATACTGGTAATGTGAAGGACAATAAGAAGGGATATCACGGTCGCTTCAGATGTGGACGTTCAAGAACACCGTACTCTTCTGAACTTAATACCTGTGATTACTTTTTATGGGGTTTTATAATACTTTTTATAATACTTCTAAAGGTTAATGTCTACAGCAATAACTCACATACGGTCGAAGAATTGAAGGCGGAAATCAGAACTGTTGTGGAAAGCATTAATCAGCAAACACCATTTGAAGTTATCGTTGACCTCCGTGAACGCCTGCAGAGGATCATGGATGCTGGAGGCTCCCACATTCAAAATGTGTTTTCATAATTAAAAACTCCAAAACATCCTGTGTTTTGTAAGCTATAATTCCAGATTCTATGTGTATTATTTTAGAAAATACTCGTGATGAAAACTAGAGCATCTTTTTTTGATGACCCTGTAGATAAAGGAAGCTGCTCTTGCATACTTCAAGACATTAAACATGTGCCACTGGAAAGAAATAGACATGCTGCAACAATGCAAGGATCCTGGAAATTCATCAAAAGTAGTTAAAATTACTCTCATTTACCCAAATTCAATCTGAGGTTAAGTGTATCGATGTGGATTATTTCACAAGTTTTGAATGAACATAACCCAAATATGCATACTTAGCTTGAGCTTGCTAAACTGGTGCAATATACGGTAAGTAACAATGATGGAATGATGATGAACTCATCTAAGAGATCAACAAATTAGGCAGGGAAGCTTTCTGCATAAAATTGTCTTTTTTTGCATGATGAATCACTTCAAACTTGTGCAGGATCAGAGCCCAGACATAGTTGTAAACATTGTAGTTATGAGAAAGAAGTTTTGTAGAAGAGACCTGGCAAAATGAGGCAGCAGTGATGAGTTTGCTGGTGCCCTCAACCTCGTTCCACAGAGCCACCTTCTTGTCTGGGATGTACCAGAGTCGCAATTTCCCGTCCAAGGATCCACTCAGGAAGTACCGATCGTCCTGGTAGCAAAAATCAAATCTCAAATTTCTCCTTGGGGAAATTCTGAGACGCATGAGGCTATTGACAGGAAGGATGGAGATGGAGACCTTCCCTACCTTCCTCTACCGTCACTGTTTCAGTTACACGACCTTTGTCGTCTCAGGAAGGAACGCACTTTACACGGTTTCGGCGTGACAGAACAGGTAACTACTTCTATTGTCCTTTATTAAGACCTTACCAAACTCAAAATTAAATGATTATGAAAATGGCCTCAAAATCATGCATTTTCTAATATAATATTATTTTAAGTTTGTGAGAGGCAATGCATCACATTTGAAGAGCTCATACATCTTTCTCTCAACCTCACACAATATGAGTTGATCTTGGATCATACTCTGAACGTCCTCTATTTTGTCTGAAATTTATCCCTCCTCAAAATGGATTTTTCCTTATACTTTATGGTTTCTTTTCCACAACCATTTTTCAACAAGGCTCACTTGACCTATTCAATTTACATTACCATTCCTGGGTATTATTACTAGGAGTGCTCAATAGAAGTCTGGGAGAGACAATTACTTTGGACCAGGAGACATCAAGGACATCAGCATTATGCCCCTTGTAAATGCAGAAGGGCTGTGGCATGAAAGGGGCAGTGGGGTCGTCCCGCATCTCCTCGCCTCTGCTCCCACCGCTCTCTCGTCTTTCCTCCTGTGAATGCTGGGACTGCAGGGACTCTTGTGATGGTGTTGGGGATGTCTGCTCCCAAAAAACATTCATCATACTTTCTCCAAAAGATATTAATGTAATCACTACAAAAACTTTTGGAAGTCTTTTATCCTATTTCTCATTAACAGGGTATTCCTGTTGCCACCACCACCTTATTTTCTTATATTACATCCCAGATGAGTTTGAAAATACATTTTTCTGACACATGCAGGTCCACTTAAAGATAATTTCCTCAAGCATTTTGGTACACAATCACCAGCTCCTTTGCACCACTGTCCACTTCCTTCACATTCTTCATGGTTGATTGATGGTGTCTCTATGCACTATGCCTGACCTTTGTCATGTTTATCAAGAAGATGGGAGAGTGTTCCTGATTTTTTATCTAACCCTTGGAGATTATGCCTATTTCTCTGAATTTCAAAGGTTTTCAAGCACTCTGCTCTTTGAGAACTTTGCAACACATAAGGTATCTTAATTAATTCTCCCATTTGCATATTACCAAAGCAACAAATTATCATCAGATCTTCCTGACAAACACCAGGAGAGAAAGACAATCAATTACAAAAAGAGCAGGGCCAATATGCCAGAGATAGACTGCCAAGCAAATGGAGACCTTTATCTCAGCGTTGTATCGAGTACGCATGTCCTGGAAGTAGGAGAATGCATCCTTGAGGACCCAGATGCGGATGCCCCGGTCCTGACCGGCAGTAGCCAGGAGCCTTCCACACTGTGAAAACTTCATTGTCCAGATTGGGAGGGAATGTTCTCCACTCAGGTTCTGGATGTAGACCAGGCCATCAAAGTCATATGGTCCCTTGTGGCTGCTGGAGGCCTTCATCTGTGAATATACAGGCTCATACTGTAAATTTGTTCTTCTCTATTCCTGGATACAAGATTGCACTTAGAAAAAAATCATTACGAAGGATGAAACTTCTGAATCTAATCAAATGAGGGTTATCAGATGAAAAGCATCACGCTAACAAAGGCTTATGCCAAAACTGATCTTTAGGAAAGTGTAGAAATTATCTGCAAATATAACTGCAATAAATGTAAATATAATCAAAGCAGAGGAGGAGGGGAAGGATTAATTTTGAGGAATGCACATGTGGAGGTTGACAGTGAATGCCAGAGGCCCCAGGCCTAAGCCCAGGGTGAGACTAAATGACACTGTTGCTCTCTGATTCCTTAACTTCCACCTGCAATCTTTCTGTTACACACATCAGATTGGAAAACAACCTCTACCCTTTCTGAATATTGGCACATAGGGGTGGAGTCCCATCTTAAAAACATGAGACAGAGGTGAAATGAGAGCAAGATTACTTGAAGTGGTTGAGTTTCACAAAATGTATTTTGCTTAACCATTTCATCAATATCCCTGAGAAATTCTTGGGCTGACCTTCCTTTTGTATCTTAAAACTCACCAGTGGAGGGGTTAATGACACAATAAAATGAAACTCCTTTGCAATGAAAGAAGGCTGACTTCTGGATCAGATTTGCACCTTGATTTTCTTATTTGCAGATAGATGGAAATGTAATTTATGGCCACAAATAACAGGCATGTAGCAGTAAAAAGTTTAAGGTACTCTGGTGGAAGAATGAGTAATTACATAGCAGTGACAAAGCACTAGGTGGGACTAAAGTCTTGAGAGTCCACTGTTAACAGCAAAACAATGCATTCTGTTCTTTGACCAGGAGGGATGGGAACAACTTCCTTGTTCTTCTGTACTAAAAGAAAGCATGGCCTGTCAAGACTTTTGTTCCACCCAAGGTGGCAAGGTGCCATAGCAAAGTTGCTATAGCAAATAGTGCTGATGGAGATCTAAGCTACCAGTATCCATGATGGTTGTTGTCTGTCTATGCTGAAATGAAATACGGAATGAATGCAATGGGATAAATATTAATGGTTACCCTGACGATCTGGCCAGTATCCCCTTGAGCTGTGTCATCTGGAAGGTCACTCATGGGGTCAGAGTCTTTGTGCCTCCCAACATGGTGTTGGGCCATACTTTTTGCCTTGTTCACTGTCTTCCCCACAGTTCGACCCAGGAATCGCTTCAGCTGTAACCTGCACAGCCCAGAACAATGCTAACATCAATGCAGAAATAGAAGGGGGTGCTTAAGTTGGAAAATTGATTATTGTTACTCCATCATGGACTCTACAAATGCTTCATGTACTCTTACGTTTTTAAGTCAGCTGCATCAACACATTTTTTTCTATGATACCAGGACCTCACTTCTAAAATAATAGAGGTACAGTTTAATACATCTACTACATTGGGGTATTGGGACTAAATTGCCATCACTTTTCTTTAGGCTAGCCCTATATCTGCTGGCTATATTCATAATACTAGCCACAGCCTTCAGAGCATTGCATGCGGACAAGAACAATCCTCAAAAGCCAATCACTGGGGTTCGGCAGTGGCAGGGCATGCTCTGCTTGTTGCTTTGAAGTGACTTCAACTGGGAATGCACTATGCAATAACTTTCCCTTGTCTGGATACTTTGAAAAAGAACAGTTTTACTATCCATTCAGGCATTAATTTGGCCACTTCATCTTTCAACCTGTAGCTGCTTAATCATACATAGAGTGGTAAAAAAGATGAAGGAACTACTACTTTCCATGGGAAAAAGACAGCATATAAGTGCACAAAAATGATAAACTAGATAAGCAATCAACACTGAACAGCTACAAGGTGTTGAAATGAGTCTCAGGATTTTTTTGGTACCCTTGTCTGATACATATGATATCCTGTAGCACAATTTTATTTAGAGGTGTATCATTTCACTCAAAGCATGGAATTGGTCTATGTTTGTCAATATCAGAATACGATGAAAATTAGCAGGCAGGCAGTTCTATGATGCTGAGAATAGCATAGTCCAAATCAGAGGTTTCCATGCCAAAAGAGGACAGAGATATGGGGATTTAGATGATGATTAAGGGAGATGCTAAAATTCCCAAATTGTCCCAGAGAATTAATTGATAACTCAAATTAAAGATAAAAGAGAGAAAATTAAAAAGGATGAAACATGCTAATTAATCATTTGTAGGATGATGGCAAACAAAATACAAAAATACAGAGTGATTTAGACAATAAAAAAGCCAAGCACTTTCTCATGGGAAAAGTCACACGAGAAATACGAAAGAGAGACTTTTTTTAAATACCACCCAGTATTTTTGATATTTTAATTGAAGATTATTCAACAAGTTATCAAATTGCATGTTACCTTATTTTTTACTCCCTCTCTTTTAGCATTAAAATTACAGTTATCAATCAAATCTCTTAGACAAATAGAAAGTCAACATCTAGGGGCAAGGGAGCCATATTTTGTCTCCAGAACCAAAATCCCTGTATCTCTGGAGAGAGAACGTCACTTTTAGAGACTAAATAGGTATACTTTACCAGACCGTTCGGAATCGTAATTTAAAGTGATTTAAACGTCAATAACGTAAGACGTGATTTCAAACATTAGAGATCAGGTCACTAGAGCAACCCATGGCTTGAGAAGTCCTAGTGTGGGCCAGTGAGGCTTTTCTAACCGAATTTTTTTTCTTCTGTCATCTGCCATCTGGAGTAGAGTGCATGTGCACTCAAGGATTCCGTTGCACGAATTTGCACTTGCACTTGAATCTTGCACTTATTGTACAAAGTTTTCTTTCCCCTATAGAAAGCAGCAATGCATTTATTTTCAATCACTTGGTAAAGGCTGGTGGAGTAAAAATGCAGCAGACAGTTTGCTGTCTGACAGCATTGCATTGAGAAGTCAATCACATCCACTTTGAATAGGCAAAAGTACATGAGTCTAGACCAGGGCTTCCCAACCTTTTTCATGCGCGACCCCAAAAATCACGATTGTACCATTCGGGACCCTGAGCACTGGCCGAAGTTCGACAGGCTTCCTCACCCATGCACTAAAATCGCAAAGAAAAAACATAACATGGCATTTAGCTGCTGGTTTGTGACCCCAAACATGACCTTGGCGACCCCATATGGGGTCGCGACCCCTGGGTTGGGAAGCGCTGGTCTAGACAAATCAGGCATTGTTATAGCACCACCATCATGATACAGGCCCAGAAATTCCACCACATAACCCATGTGATTGTAGCAATGGCTTGATATAGGTTCTATTGGCAGTTGGAATGGCCTTAAGGTTCAACAACATGTTCTTATATCACACCATAAAGCATTCCTTAAGGAATGAGGCAAAGCTACTGGTGCATTAAGTCTCTCAATTATGAAAGTATGCCCATGGTCTGCTAAGTGTGGCTTTCATCTCCAATATTAGGGTACATATCACGTTGGTGGTACCATCACAACACCTTAGTCATCACAACACATCAACTTCTCCAGAGTCAAGTTGGTCCAACAGCCATTTGTCCAGCCTTACATCACTTTGAGTGTACTCCACTATTGCCTTTGACTTCTGGAATGCCTTGCTTATAAACAATCTGCATAACTCAAGTATAAAAAATAATTAAAAATAGTAAACTAGGGTTACTGACAGTGAACCCAAGAACCCCCTTAGTGCTAAAATGTAAAATGCCAGAGATAGGCAAGAAGCCCATAATGCAAACAGACGTTCTTTTCTTGACACCACTGCCTTCTGTTGAGTCCCCCCCTATGGAGGACTTCTGGGTGCAAACACTCTCAGTGTCAGATTCTCGGTCTCCATCCAGGCTAGAATTGCTAGAAAAAGTGCATACAAGCATAAATCTTCCCAAGTACCACATGCAGTTCATACATATGGATTTGCACAGAGGGAAAAAGGAGATACCCAATGTATTCAGAGGTAAGCCGCATGATGTGAAGGCTGAGTGGATTGACGCAGGAAGGGAGCTTTTCTTCAGCCACACTTAATGGTACCCTCTCCCCTGTGTCCAGGTTCAGGACTGTCACCTGCTCCAGGATCTCCTGCATATCATCAAACATATTGCACTGGCATCATCTCTATGAATTCTCTCTCAAACAACTTGGTTCTTACATTGGAATGGGACTAGAACACCCCTCATCCATGGCTTGTGATAAAGCAGAAGTACTGATAAAAGTAAAGTCTTCTGCTTTATCGCAAGCAAAAGACTCTACTTTTACCAGTGTATAAGATATGACATGTAATAGTGGTTTTCTGCAGGCAAGAAAGGGTATGGCAGAAGAAAGACAAACAGCTTTTAACCAATAATGCTCTGCCCTTACTCCAGCAGTTTTTATGGAACTTGCCCTCTGCATGGGCTGGTGTGTTCTCAACAAACTTCTGAAATTCAATTCAAATTCATTCTGCTGGGCCAAGGCAATGATCAATTCTTAAAAAGTAGTAGGATTTTGAAAATGGACAGAGGAGAGCACTGGTAGTCCATGGAGGAAATGGCTTTGCATTTGGCTGAAATAGTTGCATATTATGCAGGACATATGAAATATATATTTCTATTGAAATTCATTCTTGGATAAGTATTTTCTTGCAGCTGGTTCTGATAAGTTTTTCTCCAATTGATAACCATCGAATCACAAAGTATCGTTAAAGAGAAAAATTGCAATCGGTTTCTATGGATTTTCTCCTGGTTTGCTATGGAAAGAGAGATAGAAACAGAGTCTAGCAACTTCAAAGTGACAGGAGTCATTTGTCCACTTTTAAATTACAATTACTATTGAAAAATTGCTCATAGCCTTGCTTTAGCAGGATGAATTTTGATGGAATTTTTGAAGATCTGTGGGGAATATATCAATCTATGCAAATTGAAAGCTCAATAAAAGCAAATTGCTCTGGAGATAGCAGGGATACATGTAGGCCAAAAGTTAGGTTCAGAATATATATACCATGTATATTCAGGAAGCATAAAAAATATTGCATTATTTCATACACAGCTCTAACTAATGAAGATCCAATCCCAGGTCAGCCTGGTATTGAAGGACGCACTTTGTCAGAAAGAAGACGTCCTGAATCTGTCCGTGTTCGGACAAACATGTTCAGCTGCTTCATTATATCAGCATCACGATCAAAGCTCCCTTTCCCAGACATGGAATGACTAGGACTTGATGACACAACACCCAGTGGTTCCTTCTTTGAACGCCTTGAATCCAAACTTGATCGCTTGGAATCACGACTACCTGATGTCTTTGAGTCTAGGCTTGACTGCTTTGAATCAAAACTGTAGTACCTGAATGCAAAAGAAAGGGGCAGCATGGAGTTTACTTGCATCTTTGATTCACACCAAAGTAGCTACTTTCCTCTATTCTTGATAGGAAAAGTAACAGAAAAGATACAATTACACTAAAGAATCCTACAGGGCCTTGCAGAACAGGAGATTGGCACATATATGTACATTATGCATAAACACTCACAAATAAGTCTTTATTTTTTCAAAAAGCTATTAGTTTCTTTTTAAGGCAATCAGAAGTGTCTGCATACTCTGCTGAGGAAAGTAAGTGAAAAAGTGAAAAAATAGGACACTCCAAGCCTAGAGATAGGACAAGGAAAAAGGAGATAGAGACTTGGATGTGTCTTCAAGGCTGAGATATGCATCCTCTGATGGACTGCTGGAATGTTGTGGAGACAGAGAGGCTGAACCCACTCCAGGTACCAGGACTCCACTTAACTCCTGTCCTGGTCCTTCTGCTCGAGTGCTGTCCTCATCCTAGAACATGACAAAAAAACATGCTTGAAAAAAGCAGAGATGTAAAACTGACAAGAATCAGAATGGTTAACTCAATGAATTTCACATGAAATAGGATTTTAATTGGATTTTATTACCAACATACAATTTGCATGATTTTGCAAAAGAACTTTATAAGCATAATAACATGCCAAGAGCTGAATGGGGAAGTGGCTGTTGCAAAAAGCAGGCTTGTGACTTGTTCAATGTGACTACTGCACTGATTTTATGAACTCAAGACATCACCATACTCCTTGGAGATCATTACTGCATTACATTACCACATTAAATGCATTACTGAGGATCATGTGACTTCACTTTATTTCATTTTCAATTTGAAGAAATCAAACAGCAAACATTAACATCTTCTGGGGTGATCTTTGGAGGTGTAGGATACTTGCAGAGCTGAGACATAAGTAAGACATACCTGTGGCTTGACAACGAATTGTCCCTGAATGGCACTACGGATATCCAGGCTGTTTTCTTGATCCTGAGCCAAGGATTCAATCCCCTTCCCACTGGGTGTGACTTTGAGTGGAGACAAGAACACAGATCCACATTCTCCATGGCTTAGTGGACTCACATCTGATGACATAACTGATGAAAATGAGCCCACCTTCTCTGGCTGTCTTGGCTAGAAGGAAAGGTGTTGCATAACTAACTACAGGAATATCTTCATATCTGCTGTACGTTTCTGAACATGCTCTATACATAGGTCCAAAAAGTACCAACATCAAACAACAGATGGCAAAGCTATGACAGTTTGCATATGGCAGCGTGAAAACCATGCAGAATATGTGGAAATGGTCTGAGGGATTTAAGTTCAACATACAGCACAGCACTGTATTTAAATTTCCTTATGCCAATTTTAATGCTCCCATGCAGCACATTTTAATTTCAGACTTCCAGATTTGACTAGGAAAATCGATATAAAAGAAACATCCAGTTCATGGCATTAAGCAAAGTTCAAGACTCTGGGTCAACAAGCAAGACAAGTGAAATGTATAATCCTGGATAAGTGGACTCTGAAATATTACTTCTTCCACCCTAGACACTCTAGGGCAGTGGTGCCCAACCTTTTCGGCTAGGGGGCCACATAGCTCACTCCCACAGCCATCGCGGGCCATATGCAGTCACTAGTATTGTAGGAGACTATTTTAACCACTTGACAACGGGATTGACTGAGCCAGCCCAGCATCCCAACGGTATTATTCCAGCCTCAGCCAGGCGCTAAGTCCCACGACCTAAATATACGTCATCCGTAGGAAAGTACAGAGAAACAGGTATGAAGAACGAAAAACAGGTAATTTGGTAGGATGGATGGAATCAACGTAAATCATCGTAAATCAAAGCAAAGGTCGGTATCAGTTGGTCAGAATGTAATCGTGGTCAAAATCGGATTCGTAAGTCAAAGCAAGGGCCGGAAAATCAGTTTGTGGTCAGAATCATAGATGAGAAGATGCAGAAGTAAACGGTAGGAATGAATGAGTTAGAATGCAGTCATTTATATGCAAAACCCCTGACACAGCAGCCAAACATGTTGGCCAATAAACGTGCAACACGTTTGCAAGACATATGTCACGTGTCAAGTGCCAAAACGTGACACGTGACATTGACATATGTCAAGGAAGGTGAACGAGGCTAACCATTTTGGAGCAAACAGCTTTTCATTACCAAGCAAAAAAAAAAAACAAACAGCTCATAGCTCTTCAGCTTTGAAAATCGAGATAATAAGTCATGTTTATATATGTCATCCGTAGGAAAGGGGTTAAGGAAACCTGAAGGTATTAATAATTATTGTGGGTTAGGACCTCGCGGGCCACTTGTAAGCACCTCGAGGGCCACTTTTTGCTCGCGGGCCACGGGTTGGGCACCACTGTACTAGACAGTAGCAACTAGGATAGTCAAAAAATAATAGTAATAATAATAATAATAATAAATACAAAAATATTTAGCTTTAAGAGGGTTAGGCCTACCCTAAAATTAAGGAATGCTCGACCTCGACACGTGATA